GGTAGTATATTTTAAGAACCTTTGCAGGTTTATCGGTTCCGGAATCCTTCTGAATCGCTTCGTTGTTGAGTTATCCGTGGTTTACGTTTCATTTGTGATTGCTGTGTAATCTTGCAGAAATAGCATATATTCAACTTACCCTCATTGTCCCGAATCTTCTTTTTAGCTCTTTCAGAATGTCCGAGTGATAATCCTTGTCCGTAACTGGTCTATTGGGGCGATAATCCCGAATGAGTTGCTCGTAGAAACGAACTTCAAGCCAGTGATTTCAGTTCGAAGTTACTATTTCATGCTCGTGAAACGTGATCACATTGCCCTGGTCCATATCAGTGTCCGTCGTATTCGAGCAGTCCAAACAGGATCCATAGCTTTATCGGGTGGACCGTTCACTACGGGGAGTGCTTACGAGCCATATCGAGAGGTCACGATTTCGTTATAGTTTTCGTTAAAACGAGAAAATCCAGTCGAGCATGTGATTAGTTCAATCCATACTGTTCAACCAGGGTGCCATCTATACATAAGTCTGCTCAACTTCTGTATATGCCTCTGGGAGTCATTCTTATAATGAATGCAAAATTTCATTTTTAAACTCGGGATAATTTTCTAAAATTTTATTTTGAGGCTGTAAATAGAATACAGTTGTTGTCCTCGCTCCCATTATTCACCCAGGCTTCTACACTTACCCATCATTTTTATGCCTACGCATTTGATTGCAGATATAAGAATTTTCGGTACTTTTCCGTTGCCGGCGCAAACGATAAAGTCGCCAATAATGGTTAACTGATGCCAGACGAATATCTTCGCTGGTAACCTTTTACGCCTCAGTTTCAAACAAGTTGAAGCATTTCTTATCAGATTGTTTCTTTCATACTGGCTATAGAATTTTTACCACGTTTTAAATTTACCCTAAGACAATTCACGGTAATATCATTAGAACGCAATCCACCGTCATCCGAAGGCGAAATCAAGTGTTAATTTATCAATTTAATGATGCACTAGCGAAGTAAAGCACGCGTTTTACATAATTCTGAGTAAGCTATTCGTACGAATTGAAATAATTCTTGCTTTAAATTGTATTCCAAATTATTTAAGTTGAAATTAATGAGATAATTACTGAGGCGAATTAATTTTATAGCGTAGTTTTACGTGAGATGAGATCACTTGGGGTCACGTGATACGAAGGCGAATCAGATTTGACCCATGAAATCATAGTAAATTCTAAATTAATGTCTTTTTACAAATTATTGTCTTTATTTTTGTTTACAAAATTTTAAACCATATAAAATGTTTATGCCTTCAAAATAAAAAAAAAAATCTTAGAATAACATTCTTATGTGTATACTGTATGTTGTCGCCAACAAAGTCTGCTCGGCCAGATTTGCGCCGCGAAACGGAAAAGTAAATTTCAATGTTCCATAATCTTTCTTTGTCAAAAGATGCAACCTCTCAACCCTATATCAGATAAAGATCCCGAATTCATCTAAAATGCGTGGAAAGGGACTTTTCCAGCATTTCAGTTGCTATATTGTCGTTCTGATTTGAAAGGCAGATGACCTATATCATTTTGTGACCTACGTGGGTTTTTTCTGATACAAGCAGCACTTTCCGTTATTAAATTGCTTACTTTTTTGGCTGGGCAATAAGAGTTTATTTTATTACTCCCTTGTATTTTTAAATGCGCATACCTTGCGCTTTAGATATATAATTCCTGAACGATGATCCAAATAAATATATTTACGTGCAATTGGTCGTGCTCCTTTGTAAATTTAACAAATTTAGATTTTGTTTCTCTTTCAAAACTCTCCTTCCACAGCATGAAATCCTCAAACTTAGAAATTCTCTCTCCTCCTTTTCCTGGGTATCGTGTTCCATTTGTAAGTGTACATAATGGCATTTATATAAGTTTTTACGCCGAATGTTAAGGCTGCGAATGCACTCCTCGCTGTGAAACAGCAAATTTTTGTTTTATTAAATTGACGATTTAAACTGCATTTGAATGTAAGAACTTCTTTAAGCATTGTTGTTTGGCATATGGAATTTTATCGGTGACGTTTGAGATTGCGCTATAGCGAAACATTTTTTGCAATCAGGGCAGTTAAATTTTTTTGAACTATGTGGATTTTGTAGCCGTATATTTGAAATCGAATACCATTGAAAATGTATGCTTTTTATAATCTGAACTGAGTACTTCGCACAGAAATGTGTTCTTTAGGCAATGTATGTTCTTCAAATGACGCTTCAATTGCTGGCATTTGAAAAACACTTTTGCACGGAACAGTGAAAGATTTTGAAATTGTTTTTGAAAGATGTTATCCTCGTATTCAAATCGGAACTGTGATTTCAGATGTACGTCTAGTTCATCATAGGTACCATATCTAAAATGGTATTACATTTTCTAATTTCAATCAATTGATCAGAATATTCCGAAGTATTTGGCCCTGAAAAGGGCCTTTTATTAAAATTCTTCATCATTATAAATACGTGAAAGAGATATAATGGATAAAGCGCACGAAATCAATAACAGGAATTATAAACAAATTTCAGCGTCAGAGAAAAACGTCATATGATGCGCAAAAGCCAATGCGCATAAGAAATGAGGATCAGATCACGATCCCAAAAGTTGCCTTCTCTCCGTAGATGCTAGTCTATTCACTTCTCACTCATCCTAACAACTGCATCAACTCTCTTAGATATTCTTCATTTCCCAAAGAAAAGCACAAATATCCATCTGACACTCTCCATCCCATTTTTCACGGGCGAAGAGTAGCTTTGTTCCAGCTTGTTACATTGAGCTTCGAAATTTGGCAACGGTAAAGAAAGACCGGGAAATTAAAGTTGACGACCTTTGTACGAGAACATAAATACCGGTATTTTTCCGTTATGTTTTGTGTTGTTTTTCCTTAAATGTATTGTTCGTAAAAGTTTTAATTTTCCAGTTTACTGTATTTTCCGTGTTTTCTTCGGCAAATGATCCGTTGGCGCCGATGCGTATTTATTCGCGAAGCTCACCCACGGCTAATCGGCCATGATTTTAACAGTCAAGTTATAAGATATTTAGCATACAGAAGTAAAATAAATAGGTTGATAATGATATTTAGCGGTGTATAGTTAAACCGGGAGGACGCACGATGTATTAACACGAGAACGCGCGTCGCAATTAAATGACATACAAATGAAACATATTATTACCTTCAGTAAATAATGCACTGTATAATTGCAACTTTATATATAAAATAACTTAAAATAATGTTAATTGAAATTATACAATAAAGTATTACATTTCTTCAGTGACAGGAACCATTGATTTCTAAGTGCCATTTTGTTTTTTTTTTTAATGCAATTATAATCCAATTAGAAGAATATTACATGGATAATGAGTTATTGTTTTTTCAAATCAATAGGCTCAAGAAAATTAGATTTTTGTAGTTTAACATGAAGCTTCTATTTCACATATTCTTGACATTTTTTTTTTACCTCACACATAGTTTTTGATTTCTGTCTTTTTTTCTTGAGCACTGACCGCTCTGGTAACATAATTTCTTTTTTTTTTTTTTTTTGTTTGCAATCTTCAAGAGAACTTCCGTTGTATTCCTACTGTTCTGTTGATTTCAAATGAGGCTCTAAAATTGCAAGGCAAATCAAGTGCCCTATTCCTGAACTTCTCTTTGAGTTTTAGTAGATAAAAGCAGATCCTGATTTTATGCTGGCACTATTAATAGCGAAAATATATGCCCATCAGTTTGATATTCTGGCCCAGACCAAGTGCCACCCTTTCATTGACTATATGCTCAACTGCGCCTTTTGTCATTTTATAAAACGTAATTCTTCAGTTTCTTCAAATCCCCTGCTTTCATCAGTAGGTCATCATTGTGCATAGTTGACAAAAGGTTAGCACATTTGTTCTTTTCAGCCATATAAGAAAGTAGCATTATATCTTTTTGAAACCCCAAGAGAGTTGAATGCTGTTCTCTATTCTTATTCGACACAAATTCGGGTGGGATAATGTTATTATTGCATATTTTCCCATGTTCAAAGTATAGAAGGTTCTAAAATCAACCATAGTAAATATCTTTATATCATATCTTGCAGGTTTCTTAGGCATATGCTGCCAAAAGGAGCATTGTCCTCGAAAAGGTTCTAGCTTTTTGTCCAAAGTCATGTTATTCCCCTACATGATATAATTTCTGACAATTCTCAACAAAATTTTCAAACAAATCTCTTATTGGAGCTAATTATCACTCTTTCTTCTGTCATCCGTGTTCCACTATCAATATAGGAACAAAGAATGAAAGAAAATATAGTTCATTTTTTTTATGAAAAATACCTCTTGTTCCATCAGTCGCTCATAATTCTCTAGCATTTACACGGAAGGATTTGTGCAATCCACCTGAGTCTTAAAAAACAAGAAACTCTTCTTTCTCCATAGGTTTTGCGTCTCTTTTAAAATTTCCCGAAATATTTTTTACATAAATATTAGAGCATTTTGCAATCATTTCAATCATTGTGTCATTAATGTTAGCTTCCATGCATCGGTGGGTGAAGCCACATCTTTAGATATATGTCTATTGCCAGGCAATTTTGGTTAATCTTTGGATTATGGTAACTTGGTAATAAATAAAATATCCAAAAACTTTACCTTAAACATCTCCTTACATTATACACGTCACCACATTCAACTGCAAGCATTATAAATACTTATATCAAATATTTAAATTATTCCTGCACGTTTACTTCACTTAAATGTACCAAATTCCTACAAACATATTCACAAAATATCATTTAATTAAAATCACTAAACCATGTACACGTCGACTTATTTTTACTTAAAAAACATCCCAGAATTGCACAAAAATGGCATTGCGCACTCTTCACTATATCCATGTACACTGCTTTTTTCTCATAAATTAGAAAAATTTCACGAAAATACAACAATTTTCTCATCTTTAAACCCGGTAAAAAGAACATATATGAAATTACCTGATCGCGAAAAAGTATATTTACCCTTTCCAAATATGAACATTTCCCCTATAAAATAAATAAAATATCCAAAAACTTTTACCTCTATTATCTATTATATTACATTCACTACAATTCACCAAAAACATACAATGGTTACAATACTTAGTGTCAAATAAATATTTTCAGCAATTTATAATACTTTACTTCCACCTTCATTCAACAATGCATAAAAATAATTCCTCAAAAATAAAAATACTAACTTACCTAATCTCTTCAGAATCTTGATTACGTGTCCATAAACTTTTCTTATTATCTGTTTCAGGATCTTTAAAATCATACTTATAGTTCAACCAAGGTACCAGGTAAAATAAATAACTTAATAAAACATCTTTACTTCTCTCTCGCACAACCTTAAAGAAACATTATTACTACCCTTTTCAATCCCACTAAATACCCATTTCGAATTCACTTTAGTTACGGCCATGGGATCCAAAAATTCACGAACACTGTTTCACACAACACAGAATAAAGCCAAATACAAAATTTCCAGATTTTTTCCCGATTTCCCCCCTTTTCCGATTAAAGAACCGTAATTCGTCCATTAATATCACATGACATATCCCATGATCTCTCATTTCCCTCACACAAAATAATGCGTAATCGGAACTGAGTACTGCTCACATTATTACCAAAGTCCCAGGTTAACCTTTATTGCCTCCAAAATGTCGCCAACTACCATTTACCATTCTAAAATCAGCCATAGGCAGTTGATCACAAGGATGTCCTCTGTAAGTCGCACTCTTGATTGATCAGACTGATGACACTAATATTTTGCACTAATTGACAAAATACGAATGATCTTAAAACATAATTTATTTTCATTTAGGGAGATAGATAATTTGAATAAAATTCTTAGTGGCAAAATTTTCATACAACTACTAGCTGGTAACTTCGAATCTCATTTTAACAATTTCTTTAGCTGCTGAGCAATGGTACATCAACAACTGGCATTGTCACTTCAATAATATATATATAATTTTGTTAAATAACAAATACAGTCAAAGTCTAATAGACACCCAATCCGGAATGATCTTATCCGGACTCATCTACAAACTTTCTGTGCTGCGTCGCGTTGACGCTTGCGCGTAAGACCTTTCCGCTGCAATTTTGTGTGCGCGTGCGAAAAATTTTATAATGCGCGTTTAATGTATAACGACGGATAAGCTAGCAAAATTATTATTATCTATTTCGTAATGTTGCAGATTGCGTTGTTCGTTATCTTCGAGTTGGATCCGGATTATTTTTTTGTAGACTGTTGAGCATTTTAAAAGTAAGCTTGAACTTTCGATATGTCAATGAATTTCGATAATATTTACTAATATGTAAGATATACAAATCGAAAGTATCTTTCGATCCATAACAAAAGTGGAATTGCTGCAAAAATGATAAGGCATATCCTTTCTATTTAACAACTTTGTTTATCTAAACTTTAGCTTTTTTATCTAAATCTTTAACACCGCGGCGGCTGCAATGAATTGAGTTTATCTTTGCACTATCCTTATCTAGGGCAGATGTTTTATTTTATTTGGCTTTAATTGCTACTCAAGTAGTTTTCATCTCGTTCACTCCTCTTGATATGATTTAAATCAATGCCTCGTCATTGAAATTCGCTTCCGATAGCGAAGAAAGTGACCAAGTATTGAAAACAAATTTTCGATTGACAAATTAGTCGTATTCTCGCCCAGCAATTATAGGACTGAACACGAATATTTAATGAACAGAAATTATGTCTGTTTATAGATTAAAGAGAATGTATTATTACATAAAAAACGAACAACTTAAACAACTTACATTGAAAGAAATGTTTAATAAAGTAAACAATAAATTAAGCTTTTTTTTTTTGTAATTTTGATATCTTTAGATCATAATTGTTCTTTATTTCGTAATTCGGTTTCAATTTTAATTTATATGTCGCATGCCATTTTACCAGATTTAAACTGATGATCTATATCCGGAAAATGATAATCTGAATCGCCGAAGTCCCGACGATCGGATTAACGACTTTACTGTATTACAATATCTTCATTATCTGAATCTATAAGAAAGCCCGGTAGAACTCTGATACGCCCTAATTTCATTAAATGTGCGATATGTGTTCTGCTCTGGTTTTTGGCCAATTGCGTGTTGTTGGCAACCCTGTTACTTTGAAAAATCTTTCGTGGTTTCCGTCATGCTTTGTTCTGAGAAGCTGGGGGGGAAGATTTTGGTGAAGTTTTGAATTGATTCGACATAGGATATCATCGGGCCATCCGTTGAGGGGCAATCTGTATTGGAGGTGTGAAAGAGTAGGGAGATTATTATGGGCTATGCGTGATAGAAGTAGGATTTGTGATTATTTGTTATTTTATTTATTTGTGAACCATAGTATGAATTTTCTGGATAGTGTGTTTGGCTGTTATATAAATACGATAGTGATTATGTGGCAGCATGTTAAAGGTGGTATGAAATTGGTATTTCTGCTGTTCGAGAAAGCATTAATGGTAAGTGCATTATATTATATTCTTGTTCTTATTTTGTAGAATGTTATGTTCATTGTTCTTTTAGTATGAATTTGTCGTTATTGGTGTTTTTTTTAATTGTTTGAAATTTATTTTAGTTATTTTGTTGATTGGTGCGTACCGTCTATGTGCAATTCATAGATGTTTTTTTTGAAACAGGACGCTGTGTACATGGTATTCTTTGAAATTTGTTAATTTATTAAAGTGAGGTGTGCGTAGTTCATAGATTCGTTTGTTGCATCAATTGTGCAATTCGTAGATGTTTTTTTAAGTTTAAACAGGATGCTGTCTACATGGTATTCTTTGAAATTTAGTGTTGTTATGTTAATTTATTAAAATAAGGTGTGCGT